ACGATATGTAGGTATGTTTACTCTGACTGGTAATGTAACGACAGAGGACCCAAGCGTATCTTACACTGTCATATTGGATACACACCAGGGGGAGGTAACTTGTGTTCAATTAAGCGTGACTTCCAATGATAATTTGACGCGGAGAGGACGTTTTTAAACCAGCCTACCTGTCAGTGTTTAAACCAATCAAACATGATCATTTCATAAAGACGGACAGGTTACCAGTGTAACGGATTGTCCCTGTCTGTTTCAGTTGGGACCATGTAAGGATTGAGGCGTTACTCTAGTTGTATTACTGTTGTGCCGAGTTTTCGGATCCTGGCTCTATACGATATGATGATTCTTTCGCATTAGATTGTATTGAGGTCTGATTGGATTTGTGCACTAATCAGCGTTGTACTCAACCACATTAGTTGATACACCCGGAGTTTCCCAGAGAGGTTGTCGAATGACCTGAGAATGTCTACAGACACAGAAGACAATGGGAGCTAGCAGACACACCAAGTTCTTGCTGGGAATACTCTACCTCTCCTATTGTGTTTACGGAAATTTCTTGTGAGTAATTGGGAGACGTCATTTTGTTATTTCTTTATAATCTATGACCAAATATGGAAATTCTATGTGGTATATTTTATCTGGATCTCCACTTCTCTCAAACGTGAGTGATAACATTCCGAGATGTACAGATACGCTCGTAGAATATGATCATTGTTTTGTTGTAAAAGGACTCCATTTGTGTAGGAATATCTTGTCGTAGCTCCCCCATGTATAGCTATCTATTTCATTTCTCCTATTCTTTGACTGTTCAAGCAATCACCGACTGTCATTACGAGTTAGCAAGGAGGCATCTTTAAACCTCAATGTTCTAATTAGAACAGAGCGGATATAATTAAATCAGAGCAAAGCATGATATATGGGTACCCGTTGGTAGCTTGGTTAGGGAAGCTTTGTTCTTAACCAGCAGTACTCCCAGATCATGTTACCCTATTAAATAAATACTTTGCTCTCAAAGTGCTATGCCACCATGATAGGGGGTATTTAAACAGATAATAGGTGTTTGTAAAATAACCGTCCTAGAGTGACTTTTACAGAAAATTTACAGTCACGCATGCAACTATCCTGTGATTTCATTTTAGTCAAGTTTGTCAACTGCAAAACTTATCTAAAATGTTTACCGTTCACATGTACTATCGACGTCAGTTATGAACTGTTTTAAAATAAAATTGTTTTTGGGCCTTGTCTGCAACAATTTTTCTAAGATCAGGTTGGTAAAAGGGATGTTTATCTAAGTAAGATTTATTGTAATTTTTGTCAGTAATATTATCATTGTGAATTGCGGTTTGTTGATTGGTTAGTTATAAAACAGAAATGAATTACATTTGATGTGTCGCAACAGATTTAACCAAAACCATCCATTAAATAATTGTCTAGCAATATGTTCGTACGGTCAATTATCAATAAGAGAGGTTAGCAAAATTGAGATGTCCATGACAATCTCAGCAATGGCCATAGGCGACCAGAATAGACACTGAAACTTTTAGTGGCACACATTTTACGGCAATTCTAAATTAGCCAATGTGCCGTGCTTAAAGAGATTTATAAGTAGAGCTGAACTGTATGATCACATGTGTCTGTAGATGTCATTCAAACATCATTACAGTATTGTATATAGCGCTGATAACAGGCAATGATAGAAGACGACACACATTGTCTATATATACATATATGTGTGTGTATGTATTCTTCAAAGCGAATAATTAGATAAAGGGTAGACTCTGTCAATCAACTTAACCTAAATGTTTAAATAAGATGACACATTCGTTTCAAACCATAACCACATCATTGAAGAACCTCAAAGGAAAAAATAGAGGTCCTGGTCTAACACAGTTTAGGGTAGACATAATTATTGGAATTCAATATAAATGTTGGATTTTATTCAACGTTTTTAATGTGTATGAACAGATACTTGTCTCGACTAAATCTGAAAGTGTTATATTAATTACGAATGTAATGTTGTTCTGGGTATTAGAATTCTTGTTAAGTCCGGGTGAGAGGATCCCGACTGACAGGGTATTGTCGTCTATCTGATAGTGTGTGGAACTCTTCAGTACTCTATCATGACCCTCGTAAGACCGAGTAACCACTTGACAAGAGTGATTTAATACTCAAGTGTTAAACATGCCAAATCACACTAAATTTTAAACCTTTGAAGTTAACTCCTTAACATAAAGAAATTAAGGCGATGGGGAAATAACAGGTATTGATCAAACTAGTGTAACTTTAGACAGTACATCTAGAGTTGTTTTGAGACGAGGAGATCACCCACAGTATCTAACTACACCACAGCGGCTACTACATGAGGTAGAAGAACTTAACGGTTAGCAAAGTTAATACGTATTAAATAATGGCATATTTCTATAACGTTTTCTGTTTAAATTATAAAGATGAACGAACGTTTTATATGTGAATTGTATAATAAATTTATTGTCCCGCGTTAGATAGAGTTAGATAAAAACACAAACGGGTGCTTCTACAGAAAAAAAACTACGTGGTATTCATCGACATAAACCGTGTACTTTTTATACCTTCTGTAACATGTACCTCCAAAACGATTCAGATTTATTAGGTCATAACAACAAATGTTCCGATAACGATCCTGAGATGTTGTCATCAAATGGAGAAAGAAGATCCTGCATTGCTAGAGACAGGATATTTGAAACTAACAATATGGTAGATATTTTATGTAAAGTAATTTAAAGTTGTGTTCTTGATGGTATTATTTTTACAATTAGGCGCGCTTTTAGGAAGAGGCTTGGCGCCTCGACTATCTATTATAACATAATGTTCACAACCGACAGATATTCACTTAAGATAGCATTTATCACAAAATAATATATCTCAGAAAATATCTTAAAATTTCGAATTCTAAATTATTTTAATCAGTAATCGCTAGAGTCGGAAATCATGACAAATAAGAGATAATATCAATACACACAAAAATGGGTTTTTAACAGTTTCAAAATCAGAATTTTATTAACAATTGTTAAAAGGGAGCGCCACTGATGCTTGAGGAGTGACAAAGTACATATTTTATGGAGGCGTCATTTGATCGACTGCCTAGGATTCTAGAAGCGTACAACATCAACACCTTACATGAATTCACCTAAAGATGTCTCGTCTTAGATACCGATCGCTATAGATGTGTAGTTTTATGATATGGCCCATGTATTGGAAGGAATGTCGCCTATTTGTGAAGGTTGCAATGGAATTAAAGCTAACCCCTTACGTATGATGTACAGTGTGTATCCGTGGAGGCTTTTATTATCGATGATGTTGCTCCACTTATTGTTATGACGTGATGATGTCCTAGACAGTTTAATTATACTATAGTTATGTGATGAGTAAGATATGCTGGCCATACTTCCCGTTGTTAACTTGTTATGATTGTATCGCATTTAAGTGTGGATTATTTATTTACATTTAGTTTATGGTTCCTGAACAAATTGCATTACACCAGTTTAGTACCATGAACACATATCTCCTTTTACGTGTAGAAGATCTTGCGGGTAGATTGGTATACGTATCCGGGGAAACCAGCGAACAGCTTATAATTAATCATGTTTCCTACGATGACAGTAACTATTCTTGTTCTCATTAAGGGACTCTTAGTTCTCCTGGTGAACACTTGGTGAGTGTCAACTGTTCAAATGATTGTGTAATTTATCTGATTGAATATATTAAAATAAGGAATTTGTTCAAATAAACCCCACTTTAATGTTTAATATACTTTTTTTAGAATCTCTCTTTTTTCAACGTTGTATGCTTTAGTTTTTGACATAATTCATGAAATTAAATTTACCTTAAAAACATTAAACAAAAGAATTGCTGTTGTTTGAATTAAGTTATTAAATTAATATTTTCTGGTATAAATCATGCATGTAATTATTACTTTGTAAAGGTATAAAACATGGATGGCAGGAATGTCGTGATTGTATTCATCTTATTTTTTTCTTTTGACTATATTGCATTTTTTCGGGTAGAATATTGTAGTATTGTCGACGTATATTTATGTCCATAACAAAGTCAATATGACAAAGTTAAAACCTCCGTGTGTTCAAGGAAGTTCAAATATCAGGACATTGATGCCAATTCATCATTGATCGTACAATAATGAGGTTGATTGCATTTTACGTGGATTTGAAACTGCTTAGACCTTTAGAAATAGCGATAATTGAAGTATTCAATATGGAGTTGAGCATGCTCAGTTACTGACATGATAAGGGTTTCCATAATTGTTCCAATACTCATCTACCCTATCGTTCTGATGTCGACATAACGAGAGGGTTTCATAATCATTAATTCTACAGAAATGTAGCTTCAGGATGGAACGTAGTACACTGGGATCATCTGGTTTCTGTACAAAAGAGACACTCTTTAATTCCAGACATATCGGCTCCAGTTTTCGCATTTTACGACATATTTGAACATGTTTGTTAATGCACCTCCCCCATCTGAATTTTGACATTTATTTATACCGATATCGATTTTTCTAAGTCGCCTCCGAGGTTTCATCTAGTTTAGCGCTTAGTATCACAGGCGAGACCAAAAAGGAAAAAAAAAAGAATGTCTGTTGCAGTTTAATTAATACCTTGTCACTACTGTATCTAATTTCATTTGTACACGTTTGAAAAGGTGGTGTTTACTTGTGTGTCTTTAGTACAATCCTTCGTCACTGAAGCTGATATTTTCCATATGAGTATTGCCATTGACGAGATACATTAACATAATTTTATTTGCTTTTAAACGATATAGTACATCAATATTATATTTTCTCGTGCATTTTATCTGCTTTTTATTTGTCGTTAAAATTAGTTTATCAATTTGTTAAAAATATCTAAGGATTTATATATTTCATATATATTCATGTCTCAATGAAAATCCATAAAAAACCAAAAACACTAATATTTTTTTAAAAGTAAACAAATGTTTTCTCTTTACAGGGCACTTTCGCAGGTCGTGGCCCTCCGCGCAAACATCATCTGTAATAAGATTCCAGGATTGGCACCAAAACAGCGCTCTATATGTAGGAAAAGACCCGACGCTATAGTGACTATTGGGGAGGGTGTACAGATGGGCATGAAAGAGTGTCGTTATCAGTTCAGAAACAATCGCTGGAACTGTTCTAGTGTAGCAACAGACTATAACATGTTTGGGAATACACACCCAGTAGGTAAGTTAAACAAAATACTCGTAAAACGTAATTCTGTCCTTTGACATTTTTGTTACATATGGCCTGTGTGACCTGCAGGTATTGGTCGTTATGTTCTATATGATAGAAACATTCTTCAAAAAAGCTATTCACAGGTATGATTAGCTGATGTGCGTGATCCTTTCTGTGCTTATTATGCAATTAACATTTTTATTTTCTAAGATAGAAAAGTAAAACCCCTGGATAGCAGATGATTCATTGCTTGTTACCAAAGTCACAATTTTCGTGCAACACGTCGTCAACTGATAGATAAACTCATAACTCTGAGTTTTGAGAGATGCAGGATGTTGAAGCTTATGGGAAGTTTTACGGTCGTTATGACGGGCGTATTGGGAAAATAAGTTGAAAGTGATTGCTGCTCGTTGGTATGCCTTATATTTCCGTTCTTGTTTATTATGCTCTTATTTGGGAACGTGGCATTATTTTATTTGATTGACAAAAAGTTACATGGCTAGTTTATTCGATGAAACAGAAGACGTTCACTCTTCCAGAACACCTGGTCTTATTGTCCCGGTACTGTTTCTGGAGTCTGCGTGTGAATCTTTCTTTTGTTTATATATTACAATAGTATTTACAAATTTGAGTGAGCATCTGCGATTTGCATTGACATTTTGCATAGGAACATTTTGATCCCAAATTGCTTTGGAGAAGAAAAAGCAGAAATCTTAACTTTTATTAGTGGGAATTTTAAAAATTGTTTTTATTTACTATTATTATACAGTTATACTTCAAACAACGTGAAAAACCTAACAAAGTCTTCTAATGAAGAAGCAATGAGCTTGTTGAATCAGAAATACATTGGATATCGAATTGTCATGTTGTCTATGACGCTGGCATCATTGAGTGGTGCTTTTCTACCATATGTACTTGCCGTCTAGACTAAGTCAATTCCATAGCCTCGCATACTTTTACTAAACCAACACAAATAGATTAAGATAGTTGTTCCTGGTATAAATATCACATAAACCGGACAGTTTAACGTGGGTGTAATCGCATAGCAGATATTGGCATTTCTTCTGTGATTCAAACTATTTACACGAAATAACTGAAATAATTGGCTCAATCCTACCGTGTAAACAATAGTAGGAATACAAAAAAGCACATTGTAAGATATAACGGGATATGATTTGAAGAAGGATATAAACCCAACAATGATAAGCAGAAGGATATAAACTAGACCATGATAGGTAGGAGGATATAAACTAGACCATGATAAGTAGGAAGATATAAACCAGACCATGATAAGTAGGAAGATATAAACCAGACCATGATAAGTGGAAGGATATAAACCAGACCAGGATAAGTAGGAGGATATAAACCAGATCATGATAAGTAGGAGGATATAAACCCAACAATGATAAGTAGGAGGATATAAACTAGACCATGATAAGTAGGAGGATATAAACTAGACCATGATAAGTAGGAGGATATAAACCAGACCATGATAAGTAGGATAATAAAAACCAGGCCATGATAAGTAGGAGGATATAAACCAGACCATGATAAGTAGGAGGATATAAACCAGACCATGATAAGTAGTAGGATATAAACCAGACCATGATAAGTAGTAGGATATAAACCAGATCATGATAATAGGAGGATATAAACCAGACCATGATAAGTAGGAGGATATAAACCCAACAATGATAAGTAGGAGGATATAAACCAGACCATGATAAGTAGGAGGATATAAACAGACCATGATAAGTAGGAGGATATAAACCAGACCATGATAAGTAGTAGGATATAAACCAGACCATAATAAGTAGGAGGATATAAACCAGACAATGATAATTAGTAGGATATAAACCAAACCATGATAAGTAGGCGGATATAAACTAGACCATGATAATAGGAGGATATAAACCAGACCATGATATGTAGGAGGATATAAACCAGACCATGATAAGTAGTAGGATATAAACCAGACCATGATAAGTAGGAGGATATAAACCAGACCATGATAAGTAGGAAGATATAAACCAGACCATGATAAGTAGGAGGATATAAACCCAACAATGATAAGCAGAAGGATATAAACCAGATCATGATAAGTAGAAGGATATAAACTAGACAATGATAAGTAGGAGGATATAAACCAGACCATGATAAGTAGGAGGATATAAACTAGACCATGATAAGTAGTAGGATATAAACCAGACCATGATAAGTAGAAGGATATAAACCAGACCACGATAAGTAGGAGGATATAAACTAGACCATGATAAGTAGGAGGATATAAACCTGATCATGATAAGTAGGAGGATATAAACCCAACAATGATAAGTAGGAGGATATAAACTAGACCATGATAAGTAGGAGGATATAAACCAGACCACGATAAGTAGGAGGATATAAACCCAACAATGATAAGTAGAAGGATATAAACCAGACCATGATAAGTAGGAGGATATAAACCTGACCATGATAAGTAGGAGGATATAAACCAGACCATAAGCAGAAGGATATAAACTAGACCATGATAAGTAGGACGATATAAACCTGACCATGATAAGTAGGAGGATATAAACCCAACAATGATAAGTAGGAGGATATAAACCAGACAATGATAAGTAGGAGGATATAAACCAGGCCATGATAAGTAGGAGGATATAAACTAGACCATGATAAGTAGGAGGATATAAACCAGACCACGATAAGTAGGAGGATATAAACCCAACAATGATAAGTAGAAGGATATAAACCAGACCATGATAAGTAGGAGGATATAAACCTGACCATGATAAGTAGGAGGATATAAACCAGACCATAAGCAGAAGGATATAAACCAGACCATGATAAGTAGGACGATATAAACCTGACCATGATAAGTAGGAGGATATAAACCCAACAATGATAAGTAGGAGGATATAAACCAGACAATGATAAGTAGGAGGATATAAACCAGGCCATGATAAGTAGGAGGATATAAACCAGACCATGATAAGTAGGAGGATATAAACCAGATCATGCTAAGTGGGAGGATATAAACCAGACAATGATAAGTAGGAGGATATAAACCAGATCATGATAAGTAGGAGGATATAAACCAGACCATGATAAATAGGGGATATGACAAACAAAATCATGTTCTTGATAACGAAATACAGCATATTGAACCGATGTAAGATATCCCAAATACGTTAGAGATTCACATATTTTTAAATGACGAAAACTGCAAAGAAATCGTAATAACTCCGTAAAGATAAATGCAAATGCGAGTATTTTAATCTATATATAATAATAATCAAGCTTTGTATATTGTCTTCTTGTGTTTAATCAAAATCAATTGTCTTTGTAGTTATACAACCGTTGAAGAGACATCTTCTGTTAGAATGACGGTTATGATACATTATACTGTTTGTGGCATCGCACCAGTGCTGTACACTTCAAGCGAAAGAACATTCGATATTAAAGTAGATCAATTCAAATGATATCCCGAGAACAAATAAGATTATTTTATATTCGCCCATCAGGACCATGTGTGCCTTCAACTGTATTTCATAACTTATTTATCGTTGAATTTCTATGAAATTGATGGAATACATGACTGTCAACAGGGGAAAGAAAGACGTTCAATCCAGATCTGCACGTAATACAATTGGGGGTTTGTGTGCCTTCAACTGTATTAGCTGTATTTCATAACTAATGAATTGATGAATTTACAACAAATTGATAGAATACATTATTAACAACAAGGGAAAACAAGTTTCAATCCAGATCTGCGCGTAATAGTGGGTTTGGTTTTCATTCATTACTTGTTCACAGTGATATAGGGTCGGTGTTTTCCAGTCGCTATATTTCTAAATTCGGTTAGTTCGTTTGATGGTTTCAGATGTTCAAATTCATTGTATTTGTTCTTTTTTTATTTGGTGATTTCGTGATGTTCAGTTGACAATTTCGTGTTACTAAATTAACAAATGGGATTTTTAAAAATCTAGAAAAATAATGATGCTGTATTTTTCAATTTGTGAAATCAGCTTCAGTTATTGTTGGAGTTAGCTTCTGTTGGCTTATTTCTGCTTGTTTAATTGGTGTTTTCGAGTTGTTCTGACGATAATATGAGGTTGTTTGGTTGTTCGGTGTTGTTGATTGATGGTGTAGAGAGGATAAGTTTTTAATGTCTGATTTCAAGTTTGACTGATGATTTCTGTTACATACGTGAATGCTGCATATTCAATTGGCGATGTGAGGTTGTCTCACTGGTGATTAATGTATTGTATTACGGACGATTTTGGAGTATTTGATTGGCTGTTTTGTGATTGCTATAAACGGTTGGAAGCTATTTCATTACTTTGATTAGTTTGTGGAGTAATTCTCCATCAATTGAGGGATTTAAAATACTTTCATATGAACAGACTGTCCAGATTTGTTTATGTATGACTTCAGAGCGACTTCTGAATGTTAAAACCATTATTTTAAGTTATTGGTTAAAGAATATAATTAATTGACATCATTTTAAAGACTTTTCTATCTGTTTATTTATTTCACTCCACTTTTATGCTAAGTTAGCACTAACTTGTTTTTAATTTTCGCGAAAGATGAATGAGAGGGTTTAGACTAAAAACCTTTTATGATTGTATGAGTGTGTGTTTTGAAACCTGTAACATTACACTATATACGAATCTAAGCCTTGAGACGAAGTCACTTGAAATTAAAACGGTTAACACTTCAATGTTGAAATGATAACGAGCGACATGATATATGGTATACTGAGGATCCATTTAATCCATTCATGGCTTGTTATTTGTTGTAGTTTGTAGAGTTACCAAATACCGAGTGAACATTATTCCAAATTTGATTAAAGTAATGTTTATTGGATCATGAATTACCCGTTAATACACCAATCACGTCACTGACAGTAATCTGTCAAATAGTTAATGCATAAAAGTTTGTTTTATAGTTGAAATCTAAGGTAGATTAACACGATTAACAGTGTTGAGAATGTATTGTACGTATAT